GCTCCGCCCATCCGATTATCGGGGAGAGTGTCTTCAAATTTGTTAAAGGTAGTCAAGAAATGGCACACCTCCCTCTTACTGAACCAAAGACCAATACATGCAGAAAATATATGAGTACCTTAATTTTCAATGCCCCTTCAAGGCATGTGGCAAAGTTGAAACCACGTCCCATAATTAACAGTGATTTTTCTTTGTAAATCTCCTCCGCAATTTTCAATACCTCCTGATCTAGAGTTAGCACTTCACGGATTAAATCTGGAAAGCAGACGTTTTTTTCAGAATTTTAATTTCCAATTCGGTTTGGTAATGACCTGGCAAATGATTCATAGCATTTATAATCTCTCTTCTCCTATTAATCATAGAAATACGGTCGTCCGATAGAACTAATGCGAACATTAGAAGTGATAGAATTTGTGAAGTGTATGCCTGAAAAATTGGTTCTGATAACTTCGCGAAAAAGTCCTGAACAGGGCAAGAGTTTCTACCAGAACTTCGGGCGCAGTTCGGCTTGGGGGGCACCAATGGTACACAGTGAAGCTCTTACAGGCTACCTTGTGAAAACCTGTAAGCTCCTGGTAACTTAAACGGTTCACTTGTACCATTTTACAGCTTCACAAGGGTTTACAGGTCTCACCAAAGTGAGACCTGCTCGCTGTCATGAACTAGCAGAATAGATCGGCGAAAATGCAGATTGCCCCTCCTAAGCCGAATGGCGCCCAAGGTTGATTATGCTAAAAGAAACCTTGGTAGATGCAACACCGATTTCGGGACCAGCATTAATATGAATTCCACAGTGTGATTCGCGACAGATCGACGATCCTACTGTATTTGTAACTCCAATCAGAAGGGCACCACGCGGCTTACAATACCTGAAGCGAAGAACTTTGGTGTTTATTCCGGTTCGGGTCAGGTCCCTAACAGGGACCCTAGGGAATACCTGAGCGCCATCAAGGTATCAGCTGTTTCACCGCTTTGTGATACGAAAATGCAGACGTCATCGCGGAAAATCGGTGTCTCACGATCAAGGAAGTCCGACGCCAATTCCAACACTACCGGCAGCTCCGACAGCTCTTCCAAAATCTGAAACACACTCCTACGATCAATAGCCGAAAATCTAGGCCAGGGCACGCCATCGTTGTGATGATCACAACGGGGGGTGACCGCGAGGAAGGGAGGGTCGTATTTGGACTGAGAAAAGTTTTTTTTTGATAGTTGATTCCTCTTGTTTCACGGACGCTACAAAGGAAGGGGGTCATTGTTGAGAGAGGGCTGCCAAAGATCTATAGAACTATTTCCGATATTTGAAAATGACAGTTAAATCCTAACGACCGCTCCCCCTCTCTCGATAGCAAAAATTTCGGGGAAAAACTAGAGATTTCTCGGTCAATTTCGGAAAAACTGGTAGGGTTTAGGGAAAATCCAAGAAATTTTCCTGTTCCACATTTGGTATATATACTCCCTAGCAAAACGATCAGCACAACGGATGGCTGCCCTGAATCTATGACTTGAGAAACTTGTCAAACCCCATTCTATGACTCGATGAGATCAATCATACATCCCTCAACAAGTTTAAAATGGGGCCGCAAAATAGAAAATGCTGGTGATTCGCCCATCAATGTGCATGTGTTTAGCCCTTTACAATGCTTCAAGCAACAAACTGCACCTGCCGACAAGCAATAGCTGAATTGTATGACGTGCCACAAGCCACCATGATTAATCGACGACACCTCTTGATATCCGCCACATAGTCCTAAATTATTACCTTAAAATCTGTGGAGTCCATCAAAGAAATTAGGCTCAAAAATGGGAAATATTCCGACATTGGAGGTGGGGGGGGAGCAAGTAGGCACAGCGACTGCGTTTCTTTGAACGTTCCCGGTTCAGGCCGAGAGAGGCAAGAGGTGCAAATGCTGTCCTATGTTGTCCAAATTCACTACTTTTCAAACGGGAGACGGCCAAGAGAATCGTAATTTGCCGCTCTGCCGCGCGCGGCGATGGGCGCGGCGCTTTCTTGACTCGCGTTAGCCTGTCGATTGGAGCACCGGGCGAATTACGATTCTCTTGCCACGTACCCTTTTCAAACCATATCCACGACTTCCCACAGCTTCTGCTTGCGTAACTTTCTTGAACTTTTGTTACTTCGTACATATACACTGGCTGAAAAGGACTGTCCTTCGCCACATAGGCGATACCACCCACTTTTCAAAAAAATGTGGCAAGAAATTTCATGGCTTCCAGCCTCATTAATTTCGAATTAACTCTCCCGCACAAGAAATACACATAGGCCCTCATTTATACACTGACACAGTAGGATCCCCCTTGTCCACGCCGACTTTTGGGTATTTTTGCGAGGCTTCAATTCTTTTCTTTCAAAGTTTTACATTTCTGGTTTGCAAAGGGTATCCCCACTTCACTATGTCGAAACTCCGCCCCTTTCCTTAAAAGCCTCCCCCCTCTTCTGCAAAAGAAGCCGCGAATTAGCGGTTGAGCGTCTCAACCAAAAGGGCTTCCGCTCATCACTCGGACCTCTCCAGAAATGTGAAAACCCCGAAAAAAGGCCGAAATTTTGCGGAAAGGCGCAAAGTGGGCGTGACTACGGGGCGGAGCTTTTTGTGCCAACGCATGAATGCGAGCCTGTGAGTACGTTCGTTGCGTCTAGAGTGAATGTGAAATAACGACGCTGGAAAAAAAGTTATGAAACTTTGAATTTACAATAAATTCTGCAAAAAGTGGGCGGAGTCGTATATGTGTCGATTTGCAGATCTTCTCAGTTAATGAGTATGTAAGTAGTTTGTGTACTTTTTACGCCTCCGAATATGTCCCCTTTCACTGGTGAAGCTTACCTTAATTCCACCCAACACAACCTGACCACTGGGCAACAAGCGTCCACGCATCGTGTTCACTACGGAATCAGGCTGCTCGAAGATTTCCTGTAATCATGACTGTTCCAAAAAACAAGGGCCTGAATAAGAGTTCAGAAAGACGTACTTTTTGCATGAAAGTTTTGAAGTTTCCCTTCATGATTTGCTGTAGCTCCAAATTCAGATTCTGCACTTCACGTTTTTGATCCGAGGTGGCATCCGATGCTTTACGAGTAAAGCGATGGATGGTGAGCGCTTAAAGACTTCTCTATGTGTAGGAAAACAAAGGCACCTTTGACTAACAGTAAAAAATTTGAAAATTCCTGGACTCCATTTATTATAAAGTTAGCGATATGAAAGTAATAAGGTAAGCCCGACAAAGTACATGCCGTACCTCCATCTTCAACGAAAGCCACATCATCATCTTCTAGGAATAGCACTTGTTTGGTGTGCTCAATAATTGCAGCCGCATCGGACGCAACGAAATACTCAACCTGAATACAGTCGTCATTGATCCGTTTTCCTGGAGCAATTCACAAGATTATATGTTCAGGATGTCAGGGTGCGCACAGTACCCTCGAAAATTGCGCGTGAACTTGAATAATGTTGCGTCGTGAACGCACACAACTGGGCATACCGCAACCCGGTTTAGTTACCCAAGTGTTACCCAAGTTTGAGTGACTTCCTGAACTTATAATTCAGTGAGCAAATCAGCCGGTTCGGAAGCCCGCTTCTGTGACTGGCTGCGCTCCACTGCTCACCACTGCTGTGAAGCAAATGCCAATATAATCACATTCAGGGTGCAATCTAGTTCTCTGAGCCGTTTTAACCTTGCAATAATTCGAGTGCGTTCAAAGTTTGCGTCAGAGTCTTGAGAGGTCGCCAGCGTATGCCAGTGCACACTCAAAACGATGGATTGATACCTATACTGTGCTAGTTGCTGTAAACCCCGGTGTACGCTGGCGTACGCTCAAAATGCTGGACCGACACTAATGCTTTCCCAATCGCTCAAACGCTTCAGACGCCGTCGTACATGCAAAACGCTGACGCAAAGTATAAATAAACTTTTGGCGGTTTAGTACGGCCGCTCAGCGCCGCGCGACCCCCTAGTTGTCTGTGTCAGTTGAGTCATAAAGTTTGATTTTTGCCCGTAGCGCGGCGTTAGGCTTGAAATCTACTTGGGATAGATATGAGAGCGTCCAGGTTTTGGGACGAGCGCATCATCGAAGTTTGAGCGTTGCCTAAGACGGATTTCTTGGTCCATCGAAGCGCTGCTACCACTGTAGGAGGACGCTCTGCTCCCTGCCCCTCCTCCAGGGTTCGAAAACGGTGTTTAACCACGAATCGCACCGTTCTCAGCGCCCTTCAAGCGGGTGCTTCAATACATTGAAAATTGCATCACACAGGCTGTGCCGGAGGCGTGTGACATAAGGACCTCGAATTTGTAGGACTGCAGCAAGCCGGGACACAATTGATAGCAGCGATTTCTCGGGGCTGCGAAATCTTCCTGCAGTAGACAGATCATTGCGAGATGCTGACTTTGCATAGAAATCACCCACTTCCCATTCTTCAGAATCAAACGGTCGTACATTCGTAGTGCGAAGTTATCGCGTTCTTTCAAGTGTGCAGAATCGCATAACCCTGAAAAAAACTCACAACTCATTTTCCTACGTAGTCGCTGTTGCTTGCAAGATGCTGAATCGTTTCGACGAGAGGAGTGAGTTTGACACGGCGCCAAACATTTTTCCGCCACAATTGGGAGCTGTCAGGCGACCACAGATGGTGGAAAACTTACTTGCGCTGCGTCTGACAACCAGGTACAGCATCGTTGTGTCAAACCCATGGGGGGTCGTACTTTTGCTCTGGGAGGGGTGGGTCGTATTTGTAAGACAAATTTATTTTGATAGTTGACTTGAAAGTCGGGGGTCGTATATTAATTTTTGTTTATATACACTATATGCATTCTGTACGCCGGCCGTGGGATATTACGTTGCCTAGTTGTTAATACTCTTGTATCCCGCTCTACAACTCTTTCGCCCGGAAAAAAAAAAAACTGGTCATACTCATCGCTCGTCGTCGGCGCAAAAGCCCGTGAGGGGAGGGGGGGGGAGGTGTACTCCACACCGACATTTCGCGCACATACCGCCGATGCGTACCCTGCGACAACCTCCTTCGCCGCATGAAACGCCCCAGCGCCTGCAGGCGAGTAAGACAACAGAAGTCTCTGGTGCGATTGTACAAGGTTCGGCTTATCTGTCAGGAGTTGGAGATGACCCCGTGCTCACACAACAGGTAACTGACCACGGCAACTTTTACTCGGAACCAAGTGTTACGCGATGCATTGGGACACGTCACTGACCGTTGTGACGTCAGTGACACGTCACCTGTCTTTTAACAGGTAACTAGGAAGCGCACTTGTGCTACATCAGTGGTGAAAGTTTCCTGCATAAGCGAGCTACTCACGAAGTACACTGAAAAATGCGACGAGGTGAATTTCAAAAGAAAAACTCCTTGCAGCTATGGTAGCGCGCGTTATTTGAATCCTATGGGGGATAGATATGAGGAGCGTTCAGACTTTGCGACGAGCGCATCATCGCGAAGTTTGAGCGTTGCCTAAGACGGATTTCTTGGTCCATCGAAAGCCGCTGCTACACTGTAAGGAAGAACGCCCTGCTCCCTGCCCCCCGCCTGCCTAGGTTCGAAAACGGTGTTTAACACAAATCGCAGCCGTTCTCAGCAGCCTTCAAGGTGGGTGCTTCAATACATTGAAAATGCGCAATCAACAGCTGTGCAGGAGACGTGTGACATAAGGCCTCTCGATTTGTAAGACTGCAAGCAAGCGCGCGGATAATGATAGCAGGCGATTCCTCGGGCTGCGAAATCTTTCTTGTAGTAGACAGATCATTGCGAGATGCTGACTTTGCATAGAAATCACCCACTTCCCATTCTTCAGAATCAAACGGTCGTACATTCGTAGTGGAGTTATCGCGTTCTTTCAAGTGTGCAGACCGCATACCTGAAAAGAAAACTTCACAACTTCATGTTCCTAGTAGTCTTGTTGGCTGCAGATGCTGAATCGTTTCGACGAGAGGGGTGAGTTTGACACGGCGCCAAACATTTTTCCACCAATTGGGAGCTGTCAGGCGACCACAGATGGTGGAAAACTTACTTGCGCTGCGTCGACAACGGCAGCGGTACAGCATCGTTGTGTCAAACCCATGGGGGGGGGTCGTACTTTTGCTCTGGGGAGGGGGGGTCGTATTTGTAAGACAAATTTATTTTGATAGTTGGTTTGGAAAGTGGGCGAGTGTATATAATTTTTTGTTTTGTGTGACGTATATGCATTCTGTAGCGCCCATGGGATATACGTTGCATAGGGTGAATATTAGTCTCTGTCTAACACCGCTCTAATTTTCGCCGACTGTTACTCATCAGGTCGTGAACCCTGAGGATTCCGACAACCGCATTTGCCTCGCCCCATGTGATACTTCGAAACACCGCCACCCAGCGCCTGCAGCGAGCAAGACAATAGAAGTCTCCTGGTGCGATTGTAGCAAGGTTCGCTATCTGTCACGAGTTTGGAGATGACGTGTCACACAACATGGTAACGACACGGCAACCTTTACTGGACAAGTGTTACCGATGCCTTGGGACACGTCACTGACACGTTGTGACGTCAGTGACACGTCACCTGTCTTTTAACAGGTAACTAGGAAGCGCACTTGTGCTACATCAGTGGTGAAAGTTTCTTGCATAAGCGAGCTACTCATGAAGTACACTGAGAAATGCGACGAGGTAAATTTCAAAAGAAAAACTCCTTCAGCTATGGTTCTCATCAAAAAGGAATAAAAATGAGTGGACTGTTCTTGAGCAGATGCGTTGCGACCTCTCGCCTCTCAGATGTTCAATATGACCACGGCTTACCTGTAGAAAGATCCAAAATATTCGGAGTGGCTGATGATACGTAATCGTCATCATGAGGGTTGTCGTATCTAAAATAACTATATATTACACGAGTACTAGCCAATCGATAAAAACTCAAAAGCACATCCCTCAACAGCAACAGAAAATTATAGCAGCTATCGATTAGTGAAGTATAAAATGAAGCGATAGACGAGAAGTGGCTTACAGTGAGTGGCTTGTGAGGAGACAATGCGGCGAGCTGAAATGTCAGAGCATGAGGTAAGACGCAACCCGAAAAGAAAGCCCTATCAGGCAAACATAGGTTCAACCCGTGATATAAAACAAGAGTGTTAGAAATTATTAGAACATGTATTTTATAAACGGACACTGTTACTGGATATCTGAAGAGAGCCTCATTTCGACTACTGCATCCTTATCCGCTATCTTTTGGAGTATTAATGGAATGCAATAGATGGCCTCAACACTAAGTGAGTGGCAGACACCCACCCGCCTATGACTAGGCGCAAATGCCCCGCCCACCGCCCAAATGCTACGCCCAGGCCTTGTTTGTGCGGTTCCTCCCTTGCCAAAATTTCCCGTTCCGAATGACGGGATAAGGGAAAAGAATTTGATATAGTTATGATAGCAACACGCGACCAGGGCAATTGTGACAGGTCCTTCTGACTCCTAGTACCTTGTTAATAGCAAACGGTGACCGTGGTTAGTTGTAAGCTGTTACAGTAGCCATTTGAATCTCAAAGATTTCTATCGAGCATTATTTCCTGCTAATGTCCATCTGAACCAAGGTAAGGCTCGTTCGCACTCTGCGGCAGCGTACACCAGCGACCAGCAGCGTCTCGAGTGCTAGGGAAAGTACAGGAACCGATCGGACCATTAGCAGGGTCCTATTCGATGTTTCACACAAGCGGAAACAGCAGGCGTCCACGAGTGTAAGAGATATGGGGGCGATAGGAGGGCAGTGCAGTACAGAGTTGGTACCTTGGCTTACCGCTAAAGTGGTCTCCCATCAGGATGCGGCTGGTCGCTTGGTTCGCGACGCGCCCGGAAGTATCGAACGCCTAGTTATGGTGGCTGTTAGCAGTGTCTGAATTCATAGCCGGTCACATGGAACCCTTTCTAAACATTATTATATTTTCCTTTACTAAAGAATGGAACCCGAAACTGATACACCGTACTCCTTCCACTCAAAAAACAAAAGTGCTAAAAACTGAGTGTGATTACGGTGTTATTGCAAGTGGACATACATATTATTATAGCTGTAAGCGACAAACGCCTTCTAAACACCATGGAAACATATTCATGAAGAGTTGACGGTTGGGGAAATAGGAAATGTATAAAAGAAGAAAAGAAAACCGCATAAAAGGGTTCGTGCCATCTATATATTGGGTTGCGCAGACATAAGTATTTCGTTTTCTTTGCCAAAAAAAACCCGGAAAATTTCGTTCCAAAGATGAAATGTTTTGCTAGCAAGCTTGATATCATCTGATAGGAAACTTCACGTAGTTTTAGAATATCAAAACGGCTTCGGTTGAGGGAATAATTTTTGTGGATTTTTTAGTCGTTGAAGTTGAAAGCGAAGTCGGCGAAAATTAGCACCTTCGACAACTGCCTCTATTTACGTATAGTCGAAGTGCTAAAATCGCTTAAGCTGCTCCATACATTTGGAAAAGGTCGAGCTAGAAGTTCCAGCAAGGGAATCTCACTAGGACGCTTTGGAACGAATTTCAAGAATTTTGAAGTTACCAACCTTCACCTCGCCGATATTGGGCAGCTCACTAGTCTGTTCCACCTGAAATTTTATGCTAATATTAGAAATGTTTTCGCTGATATTTTTCGCATTACATATCTGATAGCAAATTTCGTGGCTCTAATAACGCATTGCGTAAAACTGTTCTCCAGAGGTGTTTGCTTTCTGTTAAATTCAGGTTATCATTACGGAACGCGAAGTCGTTGAGAACTAGGGTTCCCGTTCTCCACGAATTTTATGCTAACATTTGAATGTTTCGCTAATGTGTTCTATATGTTCTGATAGCCAATTTCGTGCTCTATAACACTGCGTTGCAGTTATTTTGAAAATCCGTTTGATGAACCTTGTTTTTCAGGTGGATAATATGGAATGTCAGGTCGATAAGCATCAGCACTTCAGACATCTCCTCCTTTTCGCATTCAACAGAGGTATCAGAGCTGCTGATGCTGCTCGGGAAATTCGCTAAGAGCTGTCCTAACAATAATCGGTCACTCTAAGCCTTACTCAAACCATGGCGATTCTATTGAGCTGCTCTAGGAGCTTTGAAGCTTCAGTGGACAGCGGTTGAGAGAGGAAGTCGGGAGCTCTAATTCTCATCGACCTCACGTTCCGTAAAGATAACCTGAACTTAACAGAAAGTAAACAGCTCCGGAGAACTGATTTTTATGTTAATGTTTAAGACACGATTGGACTATCAGACATATAGAACACATTTAGCGAACATTCAAATGGTCATAAAATTCGTGGAGAACGGGAACGCTAGTTCTCAACGACTTTGCGTTCCGTAATGATAACCTGAACTTAACAGAAAGCAAACACCTCTGGAGAACAGATTTCTATAGCAGTGTTATAGAGCACGAAATTTGCTATCAGAACATGCAAAACATATCAGCGAAACATTCAAATATTAGCATAAAATTTCAGGTGGAACAGACGTGAGCTGCCCAATATCGGCGAGGTGAAGGTTGGTAACTTCAAAATTCTTGAAATTCGTTCCAAAGCGTCCTAGTGAGATTCCCTTGCTGGAACTTCTAGCTCGAACCTTTTCCAAATGTATGGAGCAGCTTAAGCGATTTTAGCACTTCGACTATACGTAAATAGAGGCAGTTGTCGAAGGTGCTAATTTTCGCCGACTTCGCTTTCAACTTCAACGACTAAAAAATCCACAAAAATTATTCCCTCAACCAAAGCCATTTTGATATTCTAAAACTACGTGAAGTTTCCTATCAGATGATATCAAGCTTGCTAGCAAAACATTTCATCTTTGGAACGAAATTTCCGGTTGAAAAAAAAACGAAAGTACTTATGTGCCAACCCAATACTTATAATTTGACGATTGGCGTATACGACGGTACGACGCTTCTGCCTTTCGGCCACTCTAAGGCAATGCGTCGCACAAAACCTAACTAGAAATCGTATTTGTGTCGTCTTTGCTCCAGGAATGTTGTTTCCGATTTCTTAGAGACAGGGCCCTACCGCACAATTCTTCTTCTGAGGGAGGGCGAGAGTGATGTACTGATATCACCATTTCACCCGCCCGATGTTGTGGGGGTCCACGGAGGTTACGTGACATTTAAAACTTTTGGTGGGGGTCCTGCCACGATAGGCCAGAGCGCAGAGCAATAAGGGACTGGCCACCTGCCAAGGCGAGGTGTGGGAGGGGTTTAAAAAGATAGAACGCCAGACGATGCGTGACGACCACAGAGTGGTTTCTGCAGCGTATGGAAGAAAGAAGTTTCCCCTAAAGAAGAATGGTTGAATGACACAGAAGCGTCTCAGAAAAATAAAGGCTCAAAGAACATTGTCCTGGGCATAGACCAAAACCGCAAAAAAAGGCCTAGGAAGACTGCATATCTGGAAGCCTCTGTACATGCTATGGCGTGTGTATTGATGGGCTTGGGTCAAGTCGATAAGTATAGATTAGAGTAAGGTGAATCAGACACCACATAGAGATTATAGGGTAGTGCGATAGAGGATGAGTGGTCAATCACGTGTTGTTGAAAGTGCGCGCGTGGTGATTAAATATGATTTTCTGGAGCACAATGAGTGGACTAGGTAAAAAAAGGATCATATAAAGCAGATTTTCTCACCACAACTGTTATGAATCGCCGTTTAGGCAAGAGAGCGCAGAGAAAAACAGAAAGTGTAAGGACGGGTCGGAATTAGAGAGGATGGCTGTTTTAGTTTGTCCGGTAGACCGTCCACGGACAACTCGAAATCAATCCCTTTGAACGCGTCGATTTCCTGTTTTTCTCTGCACTCTCTCGTTCGCATGGCACTTTATGGTGGTTGTAACTTCGCACATTCCAACATTTCATGGATTATAAGTGGTTCACCCATCCCGGGGTCCCGTAGCTCACTACATGTTTATTGCACGTTTCGATGCTTTGGCAGTCCACTGTCCTCCACCTGTCTGGGGTTTAGGGCTTCGCAATAGGACCACGCACAAAAGTTCAAGATATCACGTAACCATAGCGGGGAGTCGAGATGCGAAGATGGTGGGAATGTTGGATGGGGGAGGGGGAGCGTTGATTTGAAAATTCCAAGTGTTGTTCCTTCTACGCAGCACGTTCCTCCTGTGGGGGGAAAATTTTCGTTAACAACTAGGAATAGAAGTAGCCCGTTTGGCTATGGTTAGACGCGAGTCTAGTCGTGCGGCATGTTGCAAGCTTGGGAATCTAGTCCAAAACAGGGCACATCAACGATTGGGGATTTTCAGTCGAGTCCGATTAGCGAACGCCCCCCCCCTCCCACCTCTCTTTTTTGGGGGTTGGTACGATGCCTCTCCCACTCCGGCCCTCTGTCGCTCCTCATCGAATCGAGCCGTCGAGCGGGATTGGGGGGAGGGGGCGGTGGGGGGGGGGGGGGGGGGGTATATAGTAATGGCATGAAACAGGAAAATCACGAAAACTCAACCACCACTCCTAGAAGGCCAAAAAGTGAATACGACCCCTCCTTCCAACAATGAGCAAGTATGACCCCCCCCCCCCTCTTTACGTCCGTGAAGCGAGAAAAATCAACTATCAAATCAAATTTTCCTTAGCCCAAATACGACCCCCTCTCCTGACCTCCAATACGACCCCCCGTTGGGGAATCCCCAACAACGATGTGCCCTCCCTGGTCCATAACGACATCTGCCTATTACCACCGTCCAGGTTCATTCCCGCCCACTTATGAGTGACAGAAGTGGCCACGTCTGCAGCTGCAGAGGTCTTTAGCACCAATGCATGGGAAGAATCACCCCCCCCCCTCTCCGAGATCTTCATGAAGTTTTTGACTCTAGTGACGAACTCTTCAAGAACACGTTCTCATGAAATGGCTATTAGTCGACGTTTTTCAACAAAACATTCTTTACCGTCTTCTATTGTCGTATGCTCATGTTTCCATGCCCAAAGGCGATCTAAACATTGATTTACAATTGTATATAAAATAGAAACTTAGTATAGTTGTATTTCCTATGGAATCTTATACAGCCTCATTCGTTGCGGACGCTGGGCCGTTTCAGGTGGAGGGGCTGAGTGTGGGGGGCGGCGCCAGCCTATTCACCACCAATTATCGTCTCTTGACAGCCTCTACAACCGCGGTGAAAAGGCTGGCGCCACGCCAATCCTAGCCCTGAAACGCTCCTCTGTCTGCAGCAAACAAGACTATTCCTTATGCTGGCACCTAAAATGGTATAAATTACTTCGACGTTACTACCAGCGAACATTACCTCAATTGCTGCTAACCAAATCCGCACAGCCTTTGCGTTAAGCAAAGTTGAGAAATTGTACAGTTATTTTCTCGGATGGGATGCTTTGTAATTGCAGAGAAATCGCTGTGCTGCTCAGTTACATTTCACTGCGACCATCCGTAGAGCAGAGGTAATTGGGAGCTTTGTGCGGTGCGATCATTTCCCTTCATCTGTGTTCGCCTGCATCCTCCCAGCGAGATAGTGTGGGACGGGTATCTACACCGTCAAACCCATTTTGTAGATGCGCATGAAACAGGGAACATGCTGTCGTTGCAGAAAACTTTGCAAGTTTGGACCTCCGCTCTCTCGTTCTCTCTCTCTCTCCTCCGCTCTTAGAGTTCCTCCCTCTGTAAACTCCTGTCCGTCGATAGTACCTACCACTTTTGCTGATTCTTGAATTCTCGCCCAAATTCCAAGCACTTTTGCGGAGGAATTCTGAGCTATTCCAAAAAAAAGTACGGATGAGGGGAGCTATAGCACAACTGAAAAGGTAAAGAGGGGAAAAACCAAGAGAAGTCGGCAACCCGAAAACATTTTTTTCTCACTAGGGAAGGTCGTCAGGTCGAAGTGGCCATCTCATAGTCAGGACAATTATCCTGTGAGCCCATTCTCAGAGATTCCCAACGTACGACGTGTTCCTCGGGACACTATTGCAGTGGGAGGGCGCAGAAGGACAGACATGACGTGGCACGGTCACGGCGTGCTGCATTCAAGATGGTAATGAAATCTGAATGTATGATCATACCTTTACTGTAGGAAACTGGGAAGTGATTCGTCTGAAGTGGACTGTTGCTCTTTATGCCAACAAGCAGGGGTGAGCCACGTCGCGTAGCCACCAGTTGACCAGGGAATCGTGATGATTTGAATGCCAACGCGAAAGCTCCTTCCTGAAGCTCGGCGAACTCCCAAAGATGAAGTCGAATCAATAAAAATCAATAACTAACCAGTTGTTGGATGACAACTTCGACCAGCTGGCGGAACGAAAAGTTTGGAAAGAGATCGTGAATGTGTTGTGTGAGCTTGGCGATAACTTCAGTGTCAGTTTCAGACTAAAACAAAACCGCAAAGTGAAAGTGGAATACGAAAAGTGGGTGACATGAGGTGCATTTGTTCCCGGCACACAGGTCATAGCTGAGATCGCCGTAATGGAAAGCGCGCGGTTGCGTCGCGGTTGGCTTGTCTAATCGATATAGTTAGGAAAAGAGTGAGGTGAGTGAGCTAAACTATCCCTACCTCAAATTTGTGTCCTTTTCTCTTCAAGTATTCTTTAATCTCTCTATAGTTAGTTATGATACCATTGTGAACGACCATGAATTCTAAATTAAAGAACTGATCAATAATAGACAGTAATATTTATAGGTAAGGGGAGGGGACGGGTACGTGACAAGAGAGCCGCGATTCGCCGCACTGATGAGCGTCGCGTGCGACGTCGCGCTTGTAAATGACGGTGGTTTCAGATGGCGACAACAGGCAATGTAGAACAGAAACTAGCCATAAATGTCCTTACTTTCGTAGCTGACGAAAAATCCGGTGCTCCGATCGACAAGCTAACACGAGTTAAGAAAACGCTGCGCCCATCGAAGCGCGCGGCGGAGCGGTAAATCAGCGATCTCATTGCCCGCCCCCGAGAGCGACAACTTCCAGGATGTGCTGCTGAGATTACTCTACAAGGAGGCACGAACCGTTTTGTCGTTACTTCTCTGTGGATGGCTGTTCACGTCTTTTGGCGATCCATGTGTGGCCCAACGAGTATGTGCAATACCGCAATGGATACTGTACTTCATGTTCATATCCAGTGTTTTCGACGATTCTGAAAAAAAGATTCTTCGGATATGTCCGCAGAGTTTCGTTGAGAGGGGGAAAAGGGTATATAGTACAATGAAACAGGAAAAAAATCAATCACGAAAAGTCAACACCCGCGAAAAATTTCTCCCCAAGCTCCCCAACGCATCAAATTTCTCTCAAACGCTCATGGGACCCCCTTCTTTCCCAACGACCAAATACGACCCCCCCCCCCCTCCCCAGCGGTAAAGTACGACCCTTGTGTATTAGAACACACGATGCCTGTACCCTTATTGTGATCGCGACGTAGTAAATGTTCAAATCCGATCTGTTGGAAAAAATCGCAGCGCCAAATTGGCGCCTAGTAGCATCCAGTACAGCCTATGCTTTTGGAGGGGGTATATTTATGACAGGGCACATCATTGGTTGGGCATTTTGGTCGAGTCCGTACGACCCCCCCCTTTCAGGGGGTTGGTACGACCCCTCTGATTCCCTCCACATCGAGCTGTCGAGCGGGGTATATAACACATGTGGGACGGGAGAAACCGCAAGAAGATACCCCCTCTCTACCATTTCTTGGATCTTCCCTAGATCTTCCCTCTTCCTACCACTTTTTCCTACTTTTACCAAAAATTTTGCTGTCGAGGAGTGGGGGAAGCGGGTACACAGTACGTATGAAACAGGAAAAAACTACAGAAAGTCAGCAACCTCTCTCATCAGAAGGAAATAGGACCCCTCTCCTATCAATAATGACCAAATACGACCTGCCCCCCCCCCCCTGTTGTGGAATCCCCAACAACGATGTGCCCTGATCTATGATCATGGCGCCCAGTAAACTCTACAGGCAGATTTATAAAACTTGAAACATCAATTTCATAGGACATCACTCAAGTCTGTTCTGTCTCGCCGCATGACCGAGCACGAGTGTCATGCCGGACGCATAGCAAAAGGCCTCGGTTACATGTACAGAGTAGACGAAGCAGGCTTCGGTCCAGAATGTGCCAACAAGGGGTATTTCATAAGGTGTAGGACATGCTTCACATACGGACTTCTTTTCTAGGCGCAGTTTGACAACGGGGGTGGGGGAGGGCATTTTGCACTTTTGCTACTTCCCATCGACGTGTCGACCTATCTAGACAGCCTTGACAGGTTTTAACATGATGGCTTGACGACCTTGTTCCAGCTTCACAAGAGTTCACAGGTTTCGCCAGAGTGAGACATGTAAACCGGAACTAAGGAAGCAATGATAGTACAAAATGCCCCCCCGTCGTTAAACTGCGCCTTTTCTATTTTATTATTCTGTTTCCAACAGGTACTTCCATGAAGTTGTCACTGACCTTTGATGGAATCTGCCAGAACGGAGACCTTTCCAGCTTTTCTCAATAACACAATCTGTTCGTGAGGAGCGCATGGCTCGTTACCACCGTCGATTGCGATACCTGCAAATTATCGGTATTATTTGAGAAAGGGATCATTAACGAATCTGACTTACCGGCGGAATCATATCCTCGATATTCCAT